TTTCTCAAAATCACATAAAGTCATATTATAACATCGACTGAGATAAATAATAAAATAAAATATTAAAATCACGATGTATCTCGCTGCATTGCGCATCGTGATTTAATATCTATAATTCATATGAATTGACTGTAGATATCACATCTGATATTTGATGAAAATTGTGAAATTATTTTATCAAAAAATGTATCTATTTTTTTATATAAAACTTGATAAAAAAAGTTATTAATTAATTAAAGTTAAAAAATAAATAAATCTAAAAGATATAATGAATTTTGTAAGGATTTATCCAATTCAAAAAAATAATTATCCTAATTTCTAAAATTATTCCATTTGTGGTATTTTTTTAATTAATTGATTGTGTGTCGCATATTCTTTCTCGCCTTCCAGCAAATTGAATGTCTTCTCTTTTGAACATAGTCCATATATATATATATATATATATTTATATATATATATAGAGAGAGAGAGTTGGATTCACGTAATATCAACTTGTTTTCGTGAGGCCACAAAATTACACTGACCTTCACAACAAAACATTGTAAGGGGCTGTTTGGCAGTTGCTGAATGATTTAGTGCAGAATAGTTAAGAGGTCAGAATGGTTAAGAGGATCAGAATGGTTAAGTGCTGAATAAAATAATGTTGTTTGGTAACTGTTCTCTGAATGACAATAAATTACCATTTTAACCCTCATCTAACAAAAACCCATTATTCGTATTCGATTCAACTTCATCCAAATCATGGGAAGCCTCATGAACACCTTCTTCTTCTTGATCTTCAAAATCATCTTTTTCATACTTAAAAACTCTGGAAAAAAAACATGGGTTCTGATTCAAACTCCCTTCAATGGCTTCCATTAATCCAACCCTAGAATCATTTAATACCCCCTTTGAAGAAGAACTGCCATGGTTAACAAAAGACGACACCATTTCCCAGAAGTCTTGTGAGGAGATCGACAGGTACACTCGATTTCTTTTTAGGGTTTAATTTTGAAAGGAAGGGAAGCGACGACGATGAATTGAACGAGGGATTTTGGTGGGTAAAGTGGGCTGTGATTTTGGTGGGTAAAGTGGGCTGTGATTTTGGTGGATAAAGTGGGCTGTGATTTTGGTGGATAAGGTGGCGACGGGATGGTGAAGGCAGATGAGAGGAGGGGAAAAGATGGTGAGAAGGTAGAAGATGGGGAGGAGGGAGATGAGTCTGTAAAAATGGGATGAGACGACGGGGAGAGCGACGGTGACCGGAGATGGCGACGGTGACCGGAGATGGCGACGGAGATGGCGATCGTGACCGGAGATGGCGACCGGAGATGGTGACCGGAGATGGCGACCGGAGATGGCGATCGTGGGGGGTGGGAGGCGATGTGAAGGAATGCTGTGTAGAGAGGGCAAATCTGGAAAAGTTTAGATCTGAATGGTTGAGTGAAGGGTTTGACACAAAATGGTTAAGAGGTATATGTAACCATTAAGAGGTTTCATATTTTGTGCCAAACACTCCAAACCTCTGACCGATTAAGAGGCTCCCTCTTAATGTCACCATTAAGAGGGAAACAAACAGCCCCTAAATGTTTACCTTCACAGTGTCTTGCTATGAAGGTTTAGTGTTATTTATGTGGTCTCACATGGCTTATGAAAACAGCATGGTCTCACTTGATCGCAAGTCTATATATATATGGGTTTAAATTATGTGAGGACCAAAGAAAGGTTGAGGATTATGAGGACAAATCTCAATCATCCAATGGTTTTTAATCAAAAAGGTCATTAAAACGGTGGCCTTTTGTAATATTTGTGAAAGTCCTATCTAATTTCATATTCAATTTGGAAGTTTGAGGGCACACTTGTAAAGTCCTACCTAATTTCACACGCATATGTCCACAT